GCCTATCAGACGCTGCAAAAAATCTTGACCCTTTAACCACAGCTTTGTAATCCAACAAAAAGAACCCAAAAATAACACAAACAGCAACTAGGAAAAATCCAAGAATCCCCAAAGATGGCTCAAATATCCTCAAACGCTTCATTTTCTTGAAACAATCCATAAAAAACATTTCGTGAAGTTGTTCTGCAGGAGGTTCTTGGTCCTCTTGGGACATCTAAAATTCAGCAAAAATCAAGAAACCCTTTTGTTTATTAGCAGTAAAGATGAAAGTAAAGAGTTGTGGGGTGGCAGCAAGTTGAAGAAAGCAGCAACTATCATAGCCACTAGTTCAGTTTGAATCATGGTATACTTGTCTTGGGCTTCTTTACTTGGTGATGGAGTAACAGGGTTATTGAGAAAGTCAGCGTTTTCGCTATCTCTTTTAAGTTGTTGCAGGATTTGATTAGTTAGTAAAGAGGGGTGTCAAGAAAGCAAGGTACTGGTAGTAGCAGTTATGGAGGAATTAGAGAGAGAAATACAGGAGAGAGTTGGGTGAAAGGAATGATGAAATATTACAAATTAGTACAATAAATGGGAGACGTTGTGGGCTAATGGGATGGTGGCGGTGGCAAATAGGCCATGAGGAGAAGAATTGAGAAATTGCAATTCAAATCTTATCTTGGACGAATCTTAATATATGCTAAATGTGTCATTTGAACACATTGGAGTAGCCGAGTAGGCCAGATAAAATATATGTTGCAATAGTTTACTTCTATCTGATCAGGTTACATTTTATTATTTCAGCAGTTAACGAAGGACGAGGGAAAGAGGAAAGTGTGTCCGATCTTGGAACCAACAGCCACTTTCTTTTTTTTCTTTTTTTTTTTTACCATTTTTACCTCAATTAAGCCCAAATTATGTTTCCTTTTATTTCTCAAAGTGGTATTTGCACTCTCCAATTAACATCTAGGTATTTTCGTAAACATGGAATATTCTACAAAACAAAGCAGCTTTAGCTCTGTTTCTCTCTTCTTTTTTTTTTTGTTTTTTGGCTTGAAATAACTGGGCAGTTTTTGATCATATTTGTATGCTTGGTTATGTGGATAAACTAGTAAAATTACGGTGAACGTGGAGTCTATATGTTATGTTCCAATGATCATATTGTGCTAGTCATTTTTTCCATGATATCAGAGATTTATCTACTCATAGTTTAGTACTTCAATTTAATTAGAAGATCCAAGCACAGCAGGATAGCAAAATTCAATGTACGAGGATCATTAGGTTTATTTTCATGATCAAAACTGACAAACATAAATCCCATTTCAGTTTTTATTTTTTTAAAGAAATCCTCTTCTTGTATTCGAATGAATTGCTTTTCCCTTTTAGTATTCACTACTAAATCCTTTTTAGCTAAGACATTATTGTTATCGATGAAATTAAAAAATAAGAATTTGATTCTTGTTTTGGCCTATTTATCACCTAGCCTTAGATGAGCAGCATTTGTGGTTGGAAAACCAGCTAGCATTCTTTAACCTTTATGGGTTGGAAAAGGTTAGTACCATACCATTTACCAACCATGTGAATTCGAACTGTAAATTGAGGCCTAATAAATTCTCCATCTGAATACAGCACAAGACTTTTAAGTCCTTCGTAATTTTTGTATTTAAGTGAAACATAAAATGGATAAAAGTCCTTTGTAATTTGCATTTAAGTGAAACACAAAATGGATAAAATGCAGGAAGCCTCCCTAAACTATTTCTCCCCTTTTTTCTTTCACTTGCAATATTTGACCTCCCTTAAATTCCTGCAAGTTTACTCCAATTTGGATTGCTATTTTTTAGAATTTTTTTTTAAAAAAATTTATATAACAATTTGATATATGTAAAATAAAAAAAAGGATTAAAAATGTATTCACGAAAAACGTAAAAATTTTTTATTAGAAAACTATAATCCGAACATAGTCGTCTTTGGACACCAAAGTTGTCCAAATCTATTGTAAACGCGGCAGTTAACTATTGTTGTCCTTTTGACCTTTCTCTTTCATTGAAGAACTACCGATCACTTATTTTATTGTTATTCAATTTGTGATCAAATTTGATTAACTTGCAAAAGTGAAAAGTAAACGAGTTTGTTGGATCTGTAAGATAATCAATGAAGAATGAGTAAGGGATGTTAGTTTATTAGGTTTCACTAGGTAAACACTCCAGTAGAGATTAATTTAGTTTAACTGAGCTGCTCGTAACAGATTGATGTAGATTCAATTGAAAACTATATGGGACATAAGTGTCACAATTGAAAGAATAGGGGTCCTTCAAAAAAAAAAGGAATAGGGGGCAAAATGGTCGTTTCGGGAGTTAACCGCATTTACCCCAGATTAAAAAAAACGAAAAAGTAAATTTAGGAAGGAAAGTACCTTGCTTTCCTTGGCGGCAGTTGCTTTCCAGACAGTAGTGATAATAACGGTTGGAAAATAGTCACCCACGTTTTTTTTTACCATGGACTGCCGTATCCAAGCGAGAAATCGCCAACGTCCACCCACAGATGTCTCCCTTTTGTGGCTTTTGACATTGACATGAAAATAAAGGTGATTATCAGGTCCTAAAAAGGAAAAGATAAATAAAGTAAAGAACGTAATTTCTTTCTTTATTTGTTTGATGGCCAGATAGTAAATATGGTATATGTTCTCTTCTCAAATTAAATGTAGGATTTTTTCCATTCACTGTATTGGGCCTAATTTTATTGTGTGAATGCATAAGCTAACATTTGTTATCTCCTAGATTTGGACACTTATTCAAATTAGTTACACTTTTACCACAAAATTAACACTTAAACCCCATGCACACATGTTAATCAAATCCTTTAAAGAATGTCCCTCGACACGCTCTTTCCACCTCCATCTGTCAGATTCAAATCTTAAATTTTATAGTGGAAAAAATTTTAAGAGTTCTTCTCTGATCATTCCTCAATGATTATTCATGGTAAGATAACAACTCTAGCTAGTTGTTCATTTTCTTATTGTTCCAAGCTAGTTCCCACACAATTCCAACTTAATATCCGCTTTATTTTGACGGGTCAATCATAGCCAAAAAGAAATGCAAGATAAATATTGGGCAGAAACAAAAAAAAAATTTGAGAAAAGAAGTGCCAACTATATGGCTAATTCCTTAGAGTATTGGTTGAAAAAAAAAAAGTCGTCTACCTACGGATCTGACATGAGGTATGTATTAATCTATGGGTGCCGGGCCTGACACTTTTTTTTTTTTAAAAATCCACATGGGTGCCGGGCTGAGACAGCCCGGCACCTGACACAAACTTATTTTTAAGTTTGTGTCAGGTGCCGGGCTGTCTCAGCCCGGTACCTGACACTTTTTAGCAGATGCTGGGCTGTCAGGTGCCGGGCTGACACTTTTTAGCAGATGCTGGGCTGTCAGGTGCCGGGCTGAGCCCGGCACCTGACACATTCTTTCACTGATACAACCGAAGTTTTCTTAAATAAAAAAAAAAAAAATCGGTCAGCAAAATTCACTCTTTCAATTCTTAGCGTACGTGACTCCAACTTTCCACTAGAATTGCTAGGTTGAAACAAAATTCACCACTTAGGGTTTTTTGGTCAACCCACAGGAAATCAACTTTTCCACTACAATTGCTAGTATTGAAACAAAATTCACCGCTTATGGCTTTTTTTGGTGAACCGATAGGGAAAGGGGCGGCAAGGAGAAATATGAATGGTTCAGGGTAATTCTTAACATCCGCGAGAGTAGAGTAACTCTTTTAAAAGAGCTCAACTCTCAACTTTTGGACAACGAACAAATAATACCAATGAAAAAGTATCAAAAGCATTTATTAAGTATTTAGGAGCAATTTTAAAGTAAAGTTTTTTAATCTTGTTGGGTCATTGGACATTGAAGATCATGAATCCATGATCAGGCTGGAGGATGCTACTTTTGATGATTTGGACTTGTTACAAATTGAGCATAAGAAATAGGCGTTAATCATAATTAATTTCCTTAGAATATATATCATTTTTGACTTTAGCTCCTAACAACGTTTTTTGTCTCGCTTTGTCTTGCATTGGAAACAATTATACCTATACTATTATTAACTCTTTTTCCTCTGGCATTTTCTTCTTCCTCTTTTGTGCTCTTATATTTTCTTTGTCACTTTATTGTTCCTTTTCTTTATATTGAAAAGGGCGAAAGATAGAGGAAAGAGAAAAAAGAATAAAATGGGCGAAAGATAGAGGAAAGAGAAAAAAGAATAAAATAGACGAAAAAAGGAAGGGTAATTGAAGGTAAACGGAAAAAGGTAAATGAAAAATGAAAATATGGGAAGGGTAATTTCATCGTATAGGGGGTTAAGTGAGCAGAAATAAAAATTACGGAGGTAAAGTGAGAAATAAGATATATGGTTTTGGAATTAATTGTAATTAACCGTAACATTTTAGAATTTGTATTCATTCTCATGTTGGTACTTATATTGAATTAATGCATTTTACCAATTGAACATAATGCATAACAATAGAACATCTATTTAAGTTCTGAATTTTTTTCGTAGTTTGTATTGTGAGGATAATTCCATAAATCTCCCATACAAAAAAAAAAATCAAAAAACCAAAACAAGAAAAAAAAAGTTTAATAAAAAGTTGGGTGAACCTGAAGTACTAAATCTTTTAGTCTTTTAAGTTAATTAATTTTCATTTCAAAGTTGAAACGTAAGAAAAAGATGAAAATAGATTTGTGCAAAATCGCTAATTACTCCTATAGGATGTTAAACTAAGAAAAGGTTTTTCAAACAAAATATCCCATTCATTTTGTTAGAATTATTATGTAATTTTTAAATGTTCACTATAATTTTATAAATATAAATTTATTGTGCAATATAAAAAGAAAAAAGGACGAAAAAATGAAGGAAAAATGCATGGCGTGACATGGTGAAATGGTTAAATATAAAAATAACGATAAGCATTCAAATAATAAAAGATTAAAATAACGCTAAATCCCCATATTATAAAATTTGATATTTAACAAACATGTACTGAAAATGATCACATCAACGCCCGGTGCGCCTTTTGCCCTTGCCTTTATCACCTGGTGTTGTGGACGGACAGCAAAATCTTTTGGGCCGTCGTCTGCAACGTTCACGCAGAATTATTGCCTCCTGTTGTGCATCAATTGGAGGGGCAACATCTATGGAAGCATCATCAAGTCCTGCATCCTCCTCCTCAACCGAGTCTGCAGTCGTACTGCTATCACAATCGTTCTGAGAGCGATACGTGACAAAATCTCCCGAATGACCGTATCCAGTAGTACATACTGGCTGGATCGACGTAGGTACGGTCATAGGCTGTCCAAGACTATAATAATCAGGAAGGTCTAAAACAGGAGATGTACCACCCACTCCACTAAGAAGACTGAATATTGGATGCAGTTCAGAAGCAGAAGATGACACCGCTGCAGTGGTAGTGTCTCCAACTGGAGGCTCGTGCGATGAGGATGGATATTGTCCACCGAACCCAGGACAATATGAAGAGGGCGTGGGATGTGCACCAAAAGGTGGAAACTGTGGCAAAGGCGTGGCATCTACACCAATATGCGATGAGTACGGGAAAGATGTCACCTGAGGGCTAAAAACCGATATATTCTGTGTAGTTGGCATAGCATTGATATCCGGCACCTCGGTGTGCTGAATGGTCTGCTCCCCGATGACTTCGTCTTGCAAGCCATGCCTGTGCCGTCGACTTCTGCTAGATGATGGTCCACCTTGTGTAGGGACACGTCGCACACGATTGGGCTGTGGAATTTCTTGTGACACAGGAGGATTATGACCGAAAGAATTAAAATCACCAACAACCATGCGATCAAAACGTTGGAGGTATTGCATTGATCCATATGCTCTATCAACAATGGTTGCATAATGGGAATGAAAGCGACCGTTAGTGTCCTCAAGCTGTAGTGCATCATGCGATTGCTGGCCAACGTGCTGCATAGTACCCATCTGACATATACAAAAAACGGCGACAATCCTTTTTAATCATTGTTGAATAGTAAATTAATTAAATTGGTATATAGTAATAACTTACCAAATACTCAAACTGGCCAGAAACTCCATGCAACATTTGCCCATATTGTGCATGCTGCTGGATAGGAGGCGTAATGTACAGAATGGTGTGATTATGATACCACTCGAGATACTTATTGGAAGGCCTGAATGTATCTATGGGCACACCAGGTACCTCTGCAGTTGCACGCGCATTCCAGTATGCTATCCAACCCTTATGAAAATCAGCCCAATTTCTTCCCGGATAACCAGAAATATCCAATTGGTGTAAACCACCCCGATTAGTGTCAACTGGTTCCGGAATGTCCTGCCTCATCCCAAATTGACGCATAACACGATCAGGAAAATGAAATTCGACGATGTACCAGAATATAAGAGGGACTCTTGCCCGCCATATGTGCGCTCCCCGTTTGCAGTAATCAGGTAGTCGTGCCAGTATATCATCGGTATACGGCATCCAAATAAACTGATATCATAACAGTTATTTAGATTGTGGATCGGCTCTTTGTGATATTATTATTATAAATAATTTATTTAGATATAAGAGACAAATACCTGATCCATGCGTAATAAGGCTAACTGCTCCCGATAATGTATGCCGGACTGACTAGAAGGGTCAACCCCTGTTCGTTCGGCTGCCCATCTCCCTCCTCTCGGAAAATCCCCAATTTCAGAATATGGGAGTACATCAGGTCGAATCACAGGAATCCGCTCCCACGCCCAAAGTTGTAGTAACAAGTATGGACCTCCAGTTGTTATTGTTCCAACACGAGATGCGTGGCACATTCGTGAATATAAACAAGCCAACGTCGCAGCCCTCCAGCTGTATTGCCTCATGGCATCCAAATCACGGATATAGTCTAACCAATTCAAACTCACGAGATTCTGACATGAATCAGCAAATAACAATCCACCCAATAGAATCAGGATGTACATGCGGGCATACTGACGAACCATAACATCTGAAGCATCTGCAGGCAACGGTGTACTCAACCGTCGGGATATAGAAGTAAGCTTTAGACGATCGTGGTTGAGCATGTTATCTTCTGGCCAATATCCCAAAATATCATAAATCAACTGCTTCCGCTCCACCAAGTAATTTAATTCATCCATTAAATATTTAAACAACTAATTAAACTACTTAAACTAATTTTATCACTAAACTAATTCAAGTAAGCATGTACCATATTATTAAACTAATATTAGCTAACTTACGTAAAAAGTAAATTACATTATTTGTATACAACTATTCTATAATAAATTAAATATTTATTTAACAAAAAATATTAATAACACAATATAACAACAATATAAAATATTTATCACCAATTGAGTAACATAATATAACAGTTATAACAATTTTTATATAAGACAGATCACTAACCTCTTTCGAACTATTTGTATTTAAAAAATTGATTGTCTTGTCAGCACTGTTAGTAGTCAGTACGGCGACCTATACAAAAGCACCGTAATTAATTAGCACGGCGGTATCGTAATTAATTAACACGAACATCTTAGCAAAAATATATTAACAATAGGCTCACCAATTCTGCCCGCGAACAAAGCTATGGCCAGAGACACCGAGAGGGACAATCCTCGACAAGGCAAATCTGAGACACCAATAGGGAAGGCAAATCGCAAACACAACAAATGTCTTTCGGCTCTGGAGGAACTTTGGCCGAGAAGCTGAGTGAGAAGTGAGAGGGATGATGCAAATAGAATTGGGAGAGCTCAGAAAATAAGGAAATGAGAAATGAGGTGCGGGGTGAGGGGTGAAGGGTGAAGTTTGGTTCGTTTATATACACATTCGGAGTTCACGACGCTGGAGCAAGCCCACGTGATTGCAGCTTTTGTTTCTGTCCGTAGCTAGCCACCACGGGGTGCTAAGCTGAGATAGCTTTTGTTTGTTTTTCCGTAGCTAGGCACCACGGGACGCTAAGCTGAGATTCCACCAGCTAAGAGGCACCTGATAAAAGCTCTGGCGGGTCAGGAAATTGCATGGACGAGAGGGGCGCATGGCTTTAAAAAGCTGTTTGGTGCACAGCTTTAAAAAAAAAAAAAAGGGAGAATCTGTCAGGTGCCGGGCTGACAGAGCCCGGCACCTGATAACTCAATCACACAAAATTCTGTCGGTTTCCGGGCTGCCAAATTTTAAAAAAAAATTTTTTTTTTTTAATTGGGGTGTCAGGTGCCGGGCTGTCTCAGCCCGGCACCCATAGATTAATACTTAACCCATGTCAGATCCGTAGGTAGACGACTTTTTTTTTTTCAACCAATAGTCTAAGGAATTAGCCCAACTATATACATGAATCATGATATTTTGTAGTGAAATCGAAAACTTTTAAGATTAAATGAGATCGATAATAAGGGTTGCTGTCTAATGCTGATAGACGCCAACCCAAATACTCCCTCCATCTCAAAATTTTAGTCACACTTTGAAAATTTGACTTTTCATTAATAGTGCTTTGATTGTCAATGAATTTGATTAAAAGTAGGGACAATACTTTTTTTTTAAAAAAAAAAAAGAGAGAGAGACAAAAAAATATTTATTTTGACTTTTTTTTACTTTGAGATATCTCAAAATGAAAGGTCGGACTAAAATTTTGAGACGGATGGTGCATGAGATAAGACTACATGGAAGGCGACTAAAACTCTCCTATCGTGACGAACGAAACAACGTGGATCTTGTCATCGAGTGTGGGGTCTCTGGGGTCAACACCTGCCCATCTTGCAGAAATGCTCAACGTAAAGTCTACTCTTGCAGAAATGATGCACAAAAGAAAAGAATTTGGCCAGTCCTTCACCACAAGAAGCATCCAAGGGTACTATTTTGTGGTTGGTCCTCCAATGATTGAAAGATTTTTCATTTTGTTGGAACAAAAACAACTAAGTATTATTAAGAGTGGTTGTCAATAATTGAAAGAAATATTAATATTGAATCTTGGGATTAAAGCTGGTTTTGCACCATCTTTCTTAGTACTTAACTGGGGACAGCAATGCTAGGATTTAGTCATTCACGTGCACGTTGTCTAATGTCCTCTTGGGATGGAATAATACAGAAGCAACATACCGTATCAGGTGTGTCTTTGTATTGGGGATCTCAGTTTCTAGACGCACCATTTGGATTCTTATTATTTACTGTACTAAAGTAAACATATAATGTTGGCCACTGCAATTTTCTTGTGTCTTGAGTGATTGCATCTCCAAGATACTCCATCCATCATGCAACAAGAGTCAGAACCAGCTCTAAGCCCATCAATTTACAGAAAACATGTATATTGGTTCGCCCATGAGCAAAGGCTAGTTGAAATAGGAAGTCTTGGGGTTAGAGAAACTAGTTGAAATGTTTGGTAACAGAAAAGTATTGCATTCAAGAATTAGGCAAAGATTCTTCATAGTCTCTTCTAAACTAAACCTTACCGTGTGTTTGCTAGTGGATTTATCAAGGGAAGTTCAACAAATACACTAAGGCTGTACACCACCTTTGCCATCTTCAGATTTAGCAGCAAATGAGCACTGGTAGAGCAGAGATCGTCAGACACTCTAGAATTTGGCACCAATGAACTATGACAGAGCCAACCAAAGTCATAATACCAATCTGGGGTTTTTGATCTTCAACCGAAATTTGACATGAATATGTTTTAGTTAATCCATTTATTGGAAGTTCAAGTTACCACATAATGGTGTTTGTCTAGAAAGATTTTACTTTGACATAAAATATCATACAGAATATTTATCCAAAACTTGACTGAGAAAAATAGCAATTAGGTTTGGAAATGTCGCCCCCGCGGGACTTGTTAATTGTTGCTTTCAAGGCTCCATCAGCAACATCAATTTGGCTTGAAATATTCCTACCCTTGACTTCCATACATGGACATGATTCGGTCAAACTAGAGGATGAGTACAAAAACCAACAGCAAAATAACTTAGAATAAAACCATGGCATTGTATCGAGGCACTTGGATGGTTAGCAGACTCACTTTAGATGCCGAGTCATAAACAAATAATCAGACTAGATGACAACACAGGCACGCTGCAGCATGATGGATACAGAATTGTCAAAGAAATGACGGCCAGTGATGAAATGCAGACCAGAGTCCTGCTTCTCCACCGAAAGAAAAACTACGAAAACCACAGTTTGAATATTTGGAAATGGAAAAGGCATCATGAAAGCAACCATTATATTTGTCGATTCCTCACGTAAGTCTAAATTTGGTTGACAACCAACTGCTTGGCTTGGCCTACTCCGCGTTACTTGCCTGATTGCAAGTGCGTGAAAATGATAGGTATGTCCAGTACTTCTGACCAATTCCCTGAAGCCGATGAATGGGTTTGCAAGAACTGCTTGAAAGAGATCATAGGATAATTCTCACTACTGATTGGGTCTATTCAGGAAAAGGGTAGGAGAAAGTCCAGGCATATGCAGTTGAAACCGTAGCTATTCCTATTTGGATTCTCTGTTGGAAGGCAGGCGTGCCAATATTGAGCCACCTGAGATAAATCATGGGCCAAATCTTCTCTAACTACAGCAGTAGAGAAACAACATTCAAGACAGGGCTAAGAAACAGAAATGCCAAGTGCTTATGTTATCTAGGATGCATGTATGTGTCTTAATTGATAACCATCGTGATAATCAATGCGGACTTGAGCTTTGATTGATTTAATGTAAGCTGGAATGCTGACATAAGCAGTAGTAGTTCAAACAACTATTGATCATAGCATTTCATTTCTCTTTCTGTTTGTTTTTCTGGGTCACCAAAAAAAATCCAGTCTCAGACTTTGTCATCATTTGTAGTTATATCTGGTCATCTGGCAAATCTACTGATCATTCAAAGACACAGAAGTGGGAGACGAATAACCTACTAGTCCCCACTCTGAGCAGAAGCAGAAATAGATTTAGGCATATTCCCCTTATCTTAATCAAGTGCTTTCCTCCATCGTAATGGATGAAGGAGAAAAGGAATATGCTGCTTCTTCTCAAAGTCTTCAATGCTTTTTGAGTCTCTCGAATCATGGACAAACAACAGACGACTGGTTCGCTAGTTCTACAATTAGTAAACCACAGTTAGATAGTCAGTCTAAACATTTATCAACTGTTGCACCAATTTTCTGAATGTTAATACTGTTGCTGAGTTGTTGATAATTCTTTGTCATATGGTTGTCTCATAAACACTCTTATACAGAAAAGAAACAAGCCTCTGAATATTACATCACACTATGAAACCAGAAAGCCCCCTATTCGGCATATATTATACAGGATTACCACTTGCTCTTCCTTGACATATATTATACAGCTAGCAGTCCTAGCATCATGTAACAAAATTCTCTGAACTCGTAATCATCTTAGTTTCCTCTCAAAACATAGCCTCGTCATATCACTAAAACCTTGACTTGTTCTAGTTGTAAGATCTCTCTCCTCCCTTCCTTTACCAAGCCTGTTAACCGTTTCATGATAAGTAACTTCCTAAAATATCAAAGACTCAGCAGCCACTGCCACTAATCTGACTCCAAATGTAAGATAGAAATCATAATTAACCACTGCATGTTCCACTTCCAAGAGCCTCCTCCTGGACCTAATTATCTAAGCCTTCATGGTATACTTCTGCTTAAATATCCTCATCCTCAGCATCATCGCCTACTTTCTTGGTTTGATTATCTTTTACATCTTAAGCATTGGTGACTGATCATTACAACATAACTTTCCATTACACTGATTCCATGAGAGCTTTGTTCTTACAGATAATTAAATTGTAGCCTAGTTCTGTTGATTGAATTAACAGATTAAGCGACATCAAGCCTACCATACCATCTGTATGACCAATTTAGTTTTATAGAACTCATGTTAAATGCAGTCCACAAAACTAGTGACAAATCAACACATCTATAGTACCCAAATCTTCAGAAGAAATGAATTTTAAGAAGAAAAACAACTCTTTACTAAAAATGTTGCTCTTAACTTAGAAGATGAATTTTCCAGAGCTTTTGGATTTTGATCTTCTGTCCATTATCCTTCATACTGTCATAACTTTACGTAGGAGCAGCTCTTATGTTCCGGTCCAATAAAATTTCCATATCCAACTGAATCACATTGTTTTGTCAATGTCTAGATTACT